GCGGTGCTAACGCGGGGAGACAACGTGGAGTGTTTCCCCGCCGGCGCTGAGCCCGGCGAACAGGGTCGCCGCTCTGCACCATCACTGACCCCACCAGCCGCCTCCTGCGCCTGCAGCACCGCTGTCACCTCCGTTTTACTCGTTTGAGTAGCAGGGGGCGTGGAAAAGCCATAAATCAGAATCACTCAAGAAAAGTAGGTTAACCAGAGAGGAGGGAAGATGATGGTGGAGATGGTTTGGTGCCCTTTTTTTTGTGTGTGTATATATGTGTGTTTAACTCAATTTTAGTGACAGGATAGAAAGATGATGCTGTGTGAGGAAGGGAAAATGATTTCTTAAGCCAGTTTAACTCTTGTAATATCGGCCTTTCATGAAACCCGGAAACTGCCAACACTCTGGTTTTAAAAAGCAAGGAAGAACATTAAAAATAAATTAAACACAAGTACTTTACAATGGAACCAAGAAAAATAATTTTAAAAAGGTAAAGAGTTTTACAGCTAAACAGAGTATCTTTCCTGTGAAGAAATTGCTAAACTGAAACAATTTAACATGATCATTAGTCACAACCCAACTGCCAGTCCTACCTGGGCTAGTTTTGTCACTAAATGATGCAAAGTCAATCAAAATGTGTAAGATTGTCTATTAATTACATGCATTCCATTTCCAGGTTTAGTGACTACAGAAGTCACACAATGTCTTCTGTGTCCTCAAATTATAAAATCTTGCGTCCTTCCTCTGTTTCAGAGGACAGGCTGCTTTGGGCAGCTTTTCCAGAAATATGGCAGCAAGGTCAAGGTCTTAATGCAGCATCACCTGCCCGGCCCCAAGTCCTCTAAATGTACGAAGAAGGCAATCACAGAAAACTTTTCTGTAAATACTCCTCTCAGATCATGTACACTCAGTTAATATTTATGGCATAAATTCCTTCCAACTCTAATAAAAGCTAAGTAGCAAAACCAGAGGAAAATCTGTGGCATTTCCTAATTCTTGAAGCTATAACAGTGTATAAAAGAAGAGGTTTACATCTAAGTATTTCAAAAATAGGATACATTCCAAAAAGAATGTCAAGAAATGGAGATACAAACCAGTCAGCTTCGTGGTTATCATATATCATATCATATCAAACATAACAACCAAATACTAGCACCAGAGTATCTGTAAGAACTTGATTTCAAATGTGTTGGTAAATGAAGACTTGCGCATACCAAAACTCATTATGAACATTTTCACAAGAAAAGCCTAACACCTGGATCTGAAAAAAAAACAAAACGAACATCTTCCCCATTCCAAACAACAAAGCCAGTTCCACTCCCAAAAATTATCTGGGGACAGGGGCTAATAACTGTAGCAAACTAGATTTATAAGCTTTACATCCCTTCCTACATTCTAGTTGTGAAGATACCACGAATTACTCTACTGTGAGCAACATGTGATTGTACATGCTAAAAACCACCAACAATTTAAAACACACACACACACACAAATCTAAACCTTTCTGGTTAACCTGACAAAACATATTTGATTAGCACTTGCAAATATTCTGCAAGCATCTGCTCAACTAGTATTTGACTCTATCCTTAATCGAAAAAAGTGGTTTTCTGGTTTTATTTTTCTTTTGTAGATTCTTTAGGGGGGGGTCAAGTTAAAATAAACTCAACAATAGCACTCACACACACAAAACGAAAACAAAACAAACTCACGATGCATTAAACAATAATGCTTATGCTTACAGAATAATGTGCAGTGACTTCTTGTATCCAGAGGAAATTTTGCATATGCAAGCTCTAAAAGAATCAGTTTTTCAAAATAACAAGCACGGTCAGCCCGATTACGATACACAGGTACCTATTTTTAAGGTCACTGGGGTTTGTTCAAAGGAGTCATCTGCATCTCTTTGTATCTAAACACTTACTATGAATGCATGTTAGCCAGAAATTATGGTTATTAGGACAGTGTATCAACTTGCAGCCCTCTTCAACAAAAAATGATTGCCATAATTAGCAAAGAAGTATTTAAAAGGTGGCGGATGATGCACTGCATTGTCCCATGTTAACCCATTTTTTCTCACCTCTTTTGGGAGCAAGGAAATAAAGTCTCTTTGAAACTGGGGCTCTATCACTTGCATCATGTGTTTTACTTGTGTTGGTTCACAACTGTCAATAAGTTCATCTAAAGCAAGTAATTTCTCTGGTCCACTCCAGCTCTGCAAGGGAGAAAAAAAAAAAAAAAAGTGTCAGTTTAGTGTAATGCATTAGTTTGGTTTACAGTCATCATTAATAAGTAAGTGCTGTTGGCTTGTAAAATAAGCAAGTTAAATTTCCTTGTAGACCTATATGCAAACATATGAAAAGCAAGCAAGCTAAATGATTGTACTAATTACAGAAAAATGAGATGTTTAATCAACACAAAAATATTCAAAATTACTGCACTGGTTCTTAAGCTAAGAAAGGATTTTGCTATATATAAACATACAAAAAATAGCAATTAAATAGGTAATCATATTTAATAATAATAATCATCATCATCAAGCGTCTTTTCATTTGATGAACATTAGGCACATATTACTGACAATGAAGGGGCTGCAATAACATTCTCTCCTGTGCATTCAAGTAAGATGGTAACTTTTAGCCTTAATATTTTCATCAAGAAGACCAAAAACTTAAATGAAATGACAGTAAAGACTTTCTGAAAGGCTCGCTGCACTGCCTGCTTGCTAGGACCGCATGTCCCTACGTGACAATACTGTATTTCAGAACCCTGGCTCTAAACCAACAAATATCTTCTAACTATCAGTTTATACTCAGTACTTTTACTAATCACATTTTAACTAATGGGCACTATAAAATTTGAAGATTTTAATGAGGCACTCATCTGAGAGTTTAGCAGATTAACAGTATCATTTGTTAAAAAAAGATAACTGAATATATTGTACATCTGACAAGCATGTCTTAAAGTCTTCTGTGCTCATCAAAGGGTTTTGATTTGTTATGCAAAAACAATTTAAAGAAAAAATAATTTCTAAAGGAAAAAAAACAACAGACATTGCTAACTGATTTAGCAACAGAATTAGAGCATGAATAAAGCCTGAGAGAGGAGAGAAAATGAGACATCACAGTTTTTTGAGAACAGATTCACATTCATATTCTTGAATGCTTTCTAGAGTGACATTTACAAGCAAATTAGCACATACAAATTATATCACAGTTATGGTAAGAGGCTAACTGAAATTAAAAAAAAGGCACACTAGAATTAAGATTTCTGTACCACTCTGCTATGATGTTCCTCAGTCCCCTTATTGGTCACACTGCACATTTCTGTTCTCTGGGTTTGGCTTTGACTAGTAACTGCTCTCCACAATCCTACACCACTTGTGTATTATAAAATTTCTACAGACCAATGAGGCAAGTAAAGGAGAAGATGGAATTGTCATGGGAGAACTAAAGCCATACAAACACCCTGCTTTGCCTTATGCAGAACAGTCATTATGGTGCATGGTTTCTCCCTCTCCAATTAAAATGTCAAAATACTCACAATGTCAAAAAAAAAAAAAAAAAAGGCCTAACTGCTGACCCCCCTCTCACCCCGCATACACACATGTGTGCGGTCATGATATGAGACCCGCATTTACGGGGCTCAGATCCAGGAGCTCAGAACGTTAAAAAGAAAGTTACAGAGGTGCCATTATAAACCGTTTTTATTGTAAATTTCTTTCAGCAGAAACATTTGCATCAAAGAACAGTTCTCTGTAAATCATGTACGGATAAACTGTTTATCTCACCAACTTTCCAACTGTTGTTTGTTCCATTAACCCAAGGCTTAGTTGGTATTATGTATGATGCTTCGGTACATTTAATCATCTCTGTCAACAGAGCTTGAATTTAGGAGAATAAAAGGGGGGGAATAATACCTGTGTTACTTTATTATATTAATTTTCAAGGTCATTCTACTCAATTTGTAAGCAGGTATATTCACTGAAGTGACTCTACCTGAATACTGCTGTTCTTTTTTTTGCTATGGCAAACATTGTTGCAATCGTGAACATGTTATTAATTGCATTGTACATTATTTTAATCTGTAACTTTCCTATACATATGCAGTTCTGTTTTTTTGAAATACCATACAAAACTGAACAGAAAAGATACCCTGACAAAAAGATACCAATGAATAAAAGCAGTCCCATTTTCCATCTGTACACTCATCGTTAGGGTATGGCTATGGGCTCTTTTTCAGTAACCAGCTGCTGAAAGATGTTTTCTCTAGGCTGTTGTCCCCTCAAGTTTCTCCCTTAAACAAACAACCCCCCAACTAGTATCAATAAGGGGTCTGAGGGAGATGTTTGGCATGGAAAAAATTGAAGTGAATGAAGACATATCTGTTAGAACACAGGCATGACGTTATCCCTAGTAAATTTGCATTTCTGGACCCCAAAGCTTGACCTTTTTGGAAAAAAAAAAAAAAAAAGTATGTAGCAAATTTAGCAGAGATAGAGAAGGGAAGGAATAAATGTGTGGCTTTCATGAGAGACAACAAGAACAATTCATGTCTGAAAAGAGCTAAAACCACAACGGTGTCAAACAGTTTGCAAAGTTTCAGACATCTGAGATGACTAGAGAGCTCTGAGACACTTGGTGAAGTGCCCAGATTCCCTGGATTTCTACCAGGTGACTTCCATTTAGATTGAAGATCTTTGTAAGGCATATACTATATCTCTAAAATGCATTTGTATAATTAATTTTGTTGGTCCTAAAAATTTACATTTAATTCTAACGCAAAATTAAAATCAAATTTTTATGATGGGTAGGGGATTTCGCTAGAGAAAAAAAATTAACCCTGGGATTGAATCACATATGCCTTTGGATGAAGGGAGCTAATCTATTCCTTAACGATTTCAGGCTCCTAAAAACATTCAATCCAGCTGGTTCCCTCGGAGTTGATGGAGGACTTGATTTGTCAGCCCAGGCTCTTTGGTGGTTCATACTGCTCTATCATTCAGCATGCAGTTAACTGCAACCATGGCACTACTTGAAAACTAGCCCTCAATTTTCTCTATTGCTTTTATGTTTGAACATCTTTCCTTCATTTTCAGACATGCCAATAGCTTTATATTAATCTAAATAACATCTTCCTACTTGTACAACGCGAGCCTCATCACTCCCACCTCCCTTGCCACCTGCCTCTGCCATCTCCTTCTGCACCTGTGCCTCTACCACATCCTTCTACCATGTGCCTCTCATCTGCTAACTCCTGTGTGTAGCAACTAGATCCTTCCTCTACTCCAGGTATACTTAGGACACCTTCTGGCTTAATTTAGGGTGCTGTTCACTGTTACTAAATTCTGCCTTCGTTATGGAGAAGCCCATCGCCTTCCATCTCAAAGGCACCTCAGTCTGGACGAAAACAGCAACATAGCGAGCCTGCATGGGAAGCCACCCCAGAGGAGAAGAGCGACTCAGGAGCGGCGGGTGCTGCTCCGTGCCCTTGTCAGAGCAGGTGGCTCCCTGGGCCTGAACGCGGCTGCGCGGCTGAGGCAGACCGCCCCCGGCAGGGCTGGAGCTCCCCTTTTCAGAGCCTTTTTCAAGCCTGGTTCATATACACCAAAACTGCCCCAAGAGCAAACCAAAGTGAAGCCAGCAAAGAAAATCAGATTTGCTTTTACACTACTGCTCTGCACCAAAATGTTTCTGGAGAGGCAGCCAGAGGCAGAATGTTGTCATGTGGATCTTCCTGTTCTGGGTGAAGGGACTGCATAAAAACCAGAAGCTTGAATTAGTCCTGGAAGAATATAAAGCAGAAAATGCTGCAATGCTGGTATTTTTACTGCCTCCTTCAAATAAGAGGAAGGACTGGAGAACCTTAAGCAACTAATTTGAATTAAGGTGGTGTAGCCAACTGTTTAAGTGAAAGAAAGAAACAGTACTCCTGCCAACCAGAAGCAGCAAAAGGCTTTCTTAAAGCTGATGATGTCTGCAGATGGGCACTACCTAAATCAGTGAGGAAAAACGGCTTCCAATTTCAGGCAAAACAGTAGCGTTCACTAGCTCCTCAAAGGAACTGCCTCTACTCACTGTGCATGGAACAAGCTTTCAACACCACTATGTACCCATGCAATTTACCCCATGAAAATTCGAAATTTTGATGATGTTAAATAAATAAAACCCAAGCACTACATATACAAAGTAGCATGAATGAAGATAGAAAGGCAGAATTTAGTATTTAAAGCAGCACTGTCTCTGAACTGATCATGAAGTAGGTTTTTTTTTTGTAATGGCAAGAATTTGGTAGTGACTTAAAAATATTTTCTGCTCTAAATCAGATAAAGTCTCTTTAAAAGAAAAATGCCTATAAATGCGCGCTTAGACACTCAGTTTAAAAAAACTTACGGTGGATATTAAAACCTAAGGATCTGAAGCCAAGAGTGATTACAAAACAAAACAAATAAATGGGCCTTTAAAATGAAATGGTTTGACCCTATCAAAATGCTTTTCTATCTTTGGTTCTAAACAAAACTCCTTTGGGATCAATACACAACTGCATTTTCAAGAGGGAAATGAAAACACTTTTCAATTGTTTCTGCATAAGTTTTTGTCATGTTCAAAATACTGGAGTTAGGTATCTATCTAGTTACATTTTCTAGTGATAATGTAACAGGAATATTAACATTAAAAAAAAAAAACAGCTTTAAGGGACATCTTTGGATTTCATGGAATTTGAAAACTAGTCTCAGTTTTCAATTTGACAAAACAACCATGGAAAATGTTTGAATGCCAATGACCAAATAATTACAGCCGAGTACCACTTGTTACCATCAGCTTCTAAGCCAAAGGACAGTTCTACCTTGAAAACAGCACACACATGCAGCAAATGTGACCCTGGAAATTTAGCTTAAAAATGCATCAGAAATATATTTTAATATAAATTAAGATAGCACTCATAAAAAGCTTTAAAGAAGTCTTCCCATTTCTATATAGGAAAAACTTTGTAATGCCATAATGCTGTTCCATGTACCATTTAATTACAACCTTTTGGGCAGAGTGGTCCTCTTAGTTTAAGGTTGTGTTTTTAGCTTTGGCTACTTCAGATTTGTCCTAATTTTTTCTTTAGCAAATAAATTTCACATGGAAAATAAACATGGGAGAGTGAGGTGTCTTGGCGTTAGCCAAAGAGCTGTAACACTGAAATGCAGCTCCATGACTTTTAGTTCTATGACAAGGGAGCCTCCCTTCCATGAATGCAATAAAAGCTAAGGGACAGAAGTAATCACTGCGTGCTGCTAGATCATCTCCAGTTTGGAAAGAGCCCTCTCTCACAGGAGCCCAGGAATTTAGTACTGCAACTGAGTATTTTGAAAAGCCTGTAGCATCTAACTACCTATTTATCAGAACATGCCTCTTCCATTACTAAACCAAAATTTCTGAGCCTAAAATAATGAAAACCTAGTTACAGGCAAAATTTCTATGGGCTTGCAGGCTTCTCTTTCTATCAGTGACGAAACAGCTGATAGCATCATTTTCAGTGCCAAGAGCACTCGCACCACTCTCAAAGATTCAGCCTTTCAAAATCTTTTTCTAATGGAACGATTGGTAATTAGTGATCTTACATGAAAAAATGCACATTAAGCACCTAAGATAACAAATGGAATAGCTTTTGTTAGGGCGAAGGCTTTTACATTTAATGAAATGTTAAAATCATTATCAGTATCATTTCAATCACTATCAGTAGCATCAGCAAGTATCATATATATGAAGTACCATTCAAACATGATTCCTAGGGGTTAAAAAGCCATCTTTCTATGAACCATCTTAATAAAGATACATCATAACAATTAAATTTGAATATAAGCTGAATGACACAAACAAGAATAGCCAATTCCAGTCTTCCACTGTTTTAAACAAACTTTAAATATGTAATAGCAAAGAGGGGAAGAGTTTTACATTACCGTTTTAACGGTCAAAACTGATGTTTATTGAGATCAACTGTATTGCGTGGCAATGTGCACTCACAAGCCTTAGGCTTCTGCCTGCAAAACTGCGTGTTCACTACCATGCCTGCCATGCTGCTGTTCTAGCTTTGACCATGCCTGTTAGTAATAAACGAAACAATACCTGTACAGATGATTTATTCCTCCCGAAAACATTTTAGAAGCAACAGTTTACCACCAAATAATATTATCATTTTTCAAGTCAGTGACTAGTACTCCTGCCCACTTCTGAAAAATACATAGCAAAACTGCATAGTAAGAGATCTCCACGACACAGCTTATGCAGTGGGAACACAGGCCTGTGCAAAAATGTAGTTGTATGAATGCACACAAAACTAAACTTAGTTATTATCAAATTGGCATCCATGGAGATTACAGCATCCATCTGTTCAAGCGGTGCATACCACTGTCCTTCACACTATTTTTTTGGTCTCAATTAAGTTTTAGGCTGCTTGAAGGACACAGAAAAGCCTTTTTTCCTCTTCCTTTCAACTGTACATGCATTCACCAACTAACACTGTATTCAGGATTCAAAGACCAGTAAGAACACACACCGAGTTTCCTTTGAATCTGAGATACTTTTGTCAATTACACCTTTCTCTCCTACAAGACACTAGACAAAAATTTAGTGCTATACTAAGTAGCACTAGTATATGTTATTGCTATTACTAGCAATAACTAACTCTTACTGACCCCCGAGTGAAAATGTTTCACATTAGCTTGAGGCCATGGAAACAGCCATCACATGTTGGAGAGAATTTGCAGAAAACGTAGAAGTACTGAACAGTAGCAGCTATTTTGCTCAGAAACCACAGGAAACAGTATTTTGGCCAGTTTTCATGTATCTGTACTGTGAATCTGTATGGTAGCTAACTGAAATGGGCAACCCTACTCCCTTAAAGTTGATGACCATTCATGCTTTCAGCAGTTCGTGGAATCAGTGACAGCCACATTTGGGATATATGAAGCCTCCTGCCTACCTTTAGAGAAGCAACCCTTTCCCTGAAGCACAGAGGCCAGCTCCCCCAGAGGTGTACTGCTCTCAGCAGTGCCTACCTGAAACATTTTGAGCCACTCCTGGAGGCCCGTGGGCGGCTGCACGGATGTAATGCGGCGACGCTGCTGTCCCTGCCCATTGGCTGCCCTCAGGTCCCCAAAAGTGGTAGGCGTGGCAGAGCATGGCACCAGCCCCGTAGTACTGCAATACAAATAAAAGTTAAAGACACAAACAGAACATTAAGGAAACCTTAGAAGTCTATTGCAGAAAAAGAAATCTAGTATAAAGTTTCAATTATTAATTAAATTGAAGTCTTCAACTTTATGCAAAGAGATTACCAAGTCAGCAACATGAAAAACATCCGTAGGCCATTCAAGGGGGTAGTTTCCACAGTTTCATCAGTTCAGGTGTTTCTCCCATTACAGTACTTCCAGATGGGGATGGGGAATGGGGGATCATTGCCCAAAGTTCCCCCAAAACACCAGTGCATTTACTGTCCAGAAAGGTTTCTCTGAAGATCCCTTTCCAGAACATTTCCTTGCCTTCTGGGCTCCCTTTGTGCCTTCTGATTGGTGACGCAGGAAACCAGAGTTCAGCATCTCACCTATATATGAAATACATTACTGCTGCTTCACTGCCAAACTGGAAAGAAATCTATTTTTATTTCTTAATATATTTTGTTGACAAAGAGATAGTAATTTGAAACCATTTTAGTGGTTCAGTAAATTGGAATTGGACTTTGAAATATTCTTCAGTATTTCAAAACTTGCATGTTGACGGAGTGACACAGGAGCTGATGAGAATGTTGAGGTAAATGACGAAAGGAGCCTTAGATACTTTCTCAATTACAGTTTGATTTTTTTCACTCTGATGGGTTAAAAGACAGCTCATTCATATGGGATAGAGGTTAAAAAAAAGCTAGGATTAGGCTGCTGTTTTAGGAGTTTAAAGCAATATGGCCGTGCTTTCTCTTACTCTACATGAAAGTACTTCTTTCACAGGATATCAAAGTTACATTCCCTAGCAGAAACTCTA